AAAAAAATTTTTCAAATTAAAAAAAGAATACCAGAATAAGAAAACATTCAAATGAAATAATATGAAGCAAAAAATGATGAAATGGAAATTTTCAGAGGGAAAACAGGAAATGTCAAAAAGTTGGTTCAAAGGACACATTAAAAAATAAAGTTCTGGCATAAATGCTGAAGGAAGAAGGCAAGAGAAAGCAAATATGAATGCATGTGATGTCATCAGTGAGAGATGAGACACATATTAAAAAGATAGGAGGGGGTGAGCACCTGCAGTCCCAGCTATTCAGGGGGCTGAGGCAGAAGGATTACTTAAGCCCAAGAGTTTGGGCCAGGCTGAGCAAGATAGCCAGACTCCATCTCAAAAGAGAAATAAAAGATGTCCTAAGCAACCTTCTGCTAAAAAATTGAAACAGGAAAACAAGCATGAAAAATAACTTCCTGAGATAATTCAAGAATAAATAGAAATTTATTCTCACAAGAATAAATCTTCCAAGAAAAGAGCAGGCTCATAGGGTTTTACTGGCAAGTTCTAGCATGTATCCAGGCATAGAAGTAAATAATCTTTACATAAACTCTTCCAGAAAGCAGAACACTGTCAAACTCACATTATGAGGCTAGCATAAATTTGATAATAAAAATAGTTGATGGGCCGGGGATTTAGCTCAGTGGTTTTGTCGCCTGCTGCGCAAGTTCAAGGACCCGAGTTCGATCCCCAGTACCAAAAAACAGAAACAAAAACAAAATTAAAAAAATAGTTGAGCAAGGAATATGAAAGGCCAAACTGTCTTGTGAACAGAGTTACAAAACTCCTTATTAAAAATTAGCAAATCAAATTTAGCAATAAATATATCATAAACAAGTTGGTTTGTGCAGGAATGCAAGATTAGAAAATCAATTAGTTTACCAGATTTTCCAATGAAACAACAACAAAAACTCTTACCATCATCTCAGTATGTAGAAATTTAACATCCGTCCCACCCCACCAGCCTCCAAACTGAGATGTGGGTGGCAAAAGGGGCCATATTTTTGGATAAAAATGCACATAAGGATAATTTATTGCCATATTAATTGCATTCTGACTTTGCTGCTTTGGAGGAACAAAGGAAACACACTGATAACAGCTGTTGTGTACTGTCTCCCTCATCTCAAAACAAGCAGGGTGGGGATGGCCCTCTGTGTCTGGTTGCTCTAGTGGAATTCTGTTTTACACATGGAACAGTAAAGTTTCCTGTGAAAGTCTGAGCCCACTGAGAGCTGCCTTGTGCCAGTAGGAGGAGCGATTCTGTCCTTAGAGACGTGAAAGCAGCAAGAAAGGACAGCAAGAGTCCCAGGGTTGGGGTGGGCTCTGTGCTTTGTGTCCTCACCCAGCCCTGGAAGTCCATGAGGAGGAGATGAGAGCTCAGAAGGTCAAGGACCCAGAAGAGAGTGCTGCCCGTGGCCTCGGGCATCCCAGAAGCTTTGCTGGTTCTTATGCCAACCAACAGCCTCCTCCAGCCCTATACTGACTGGGACTGAACTTTCTGCCAGCTCCCAGCAGCGGGGAGCTCAGGGTCAGAGCTTAGTTGATTTCAAGAAAGTCACATGACATTTCCGCACACCCAGTCTGTATCTTCGCCTTCCCGCTGCTGTATGTGGTGGGAGGTTTGGGTAGGAAACAGAGATACCCAGATGCCCCAAGGCAGACAGTGAAGCCCTACCTCTCCTCCAGGTCTGGCCACTGCTTGAAGCTGCCCTGGAGGCCACCAGCGGCTTGTCCTTTCTGGGAGAGGGTAGCAGGGGGCTGCCTCAGATCCCTGCGCAGGTGGAGGATGCCACTGGCCATGCTGTCCAGGAAGCCAAGGACCTGCAGGCAGCTCTGTGCCCTGGCAGGAAGTGGGCAGCTGGGGGAAAAGGAGGTGCTCAGCAGTTCAGCAAATGGCCTGGCCTTTGTGTCAGGCCAGGAGTGCTGAGGGGTTCCCTCTTCCTCTGGGGCCCCAAAACAGCCCAGTGAGCTGAGGTCCTCAGCTAGCTTCTCAAAGAGCCCATGCCTCCGGAAGAAGTCACTATTGACAGGGTCCAAGTGCAGCGCGGCGGACAGGGCACAGAGGGTGTGCAGCAGCAGCTCCAGGGTCTGGCCACGGGACACAGCACCCCATGCCTCCATCGGGGGCTCGTGGAGAGAGCCCTCCAGGTCAGACAGCAGCGACAGCAGCCCAGTGAAGCCGCTGGAGACTCGGAAAGCAGCTCGGCCTTTGGGAGTCTCGAGGATCCGGAGCAGAGACTGAAAGAGCAAGCAGAAGAAATGCATGACTACAGGAGTCAGATCACAGCACACCTCACACAGGACTCCTCCAGAGGCATCCATATGCTCCGCCCTGCTGGATGTCTCGGGAAGCTGCAGGAGCTGAGGATTCTCTAACCACGGGGTATCAATCTTGCTTTGCTACATTTCGCTTTAGGTTGCCCATAAGTGCCTTGTTGCAAAAGGCTATACCTGAAGTCTGCTCTTACTGATAGGCTTAACCTGACCACCCAGCACCCTGACTTCAATGGGCCTCCCTCCAGAAGGCTTCCTCTGACCCTAGCTCACACTCAGCATGTACTTGAGGTCACCAGTCTTCTCTCATCCCCCAGTCATCACACTGCCACAGCTGCTGCTCAGCAGTCTCAGCTCTCTGCCACTGACCAGGAAGCACACCTGGTCCGCTCATTTCAGTGGGACACAGCCTCACCTGACAGGCCCCCGCTGAGTGGGAGGAGCCCCCTCTCACCCTGCACAGGAGACCCACAGTGAAATCCACCCTCCCCATGCAGGGTGGGTGCACCCATTCCATGAGGAAAGATGCTACAGGGAATGGACTTAAAAGCTGATGAGAAGAGCTGAGGGTTTCAGGAAGGGAAGAGAGCCCTCCAAAGAAATAGAAGACACAGGTGCAGCATATGGAACAGCACACATGTGGAGAAAGCACTGACAGAGCTCTCAGTAGAATCCAGCACTCTCCAGACAGCTGAGACTTCTGCTCAGGCAAACAGATTTCCTTCTAAAGTCAAGGCTTTGCTGAGCACTACAATGAGGGCTCCATTGATGCCAGTGCATGGTCTGCACCTGGCACTCAATACGTGTTTTTGGAAGGAATAAGGTCTGCATTTAAGCTGTTCTCATTCTGTACTAATGTCACACCTAAAAGTAAGGCATGTCTGGATAATTTCAGATAAATATTAAAGTCTGCAGTTTGGGTATTGATTTGTTGATTGATCGCGTAAGTTACAGGGGACCCTTTCTAAACCCAGGCATTTTGTGCATGTTTCCTGGACAGTAGACAGCACTGTGGCTGCATTAGTAGACTCTGCAGAGAGTTTTGATTTGCTTTGTCTTTTTGGATATTATTGCTCTAGTAAGAGAAGGAAGAGGACAGAATTTGGCCATCAATTCCAGGGTTCTTGAGATAAGGTTCAAAGATTTAATAAGAGAGACACTCCCAATTTGGGCAAAGGGCTATCTTGTGACTTAAACATATATTTTTGAATAACAATCTATGGCAGGACATGTGGAAGTTAGCAGACAAAGGAAAAATTGATGGCCTTGAAAAAAAGGAGGAGACAGACTCAATTTTAAAATTCTTTTACACAGAAAATCAAATGGAAATTCAGTAAAGTCATAGGTAACTATTTAACATGAAGCCTTCCAACTTGGGAGAAAGATAATTTTCTAGCTCAATCTCTAAAATGCTGGTACCTTAATCTAACCTGAGTGTCTATTCACAACAATATAATGTGTGCCCCAACACTTACATTATGTTCTCTACATGATATCCCATTATAAGAAACCCAAGGGCCCTGGTGGGTCATCAGTCCCATGTTTGGCCTCAGAGAACATGAGAGGACCTGGGCCATACTGACCAACACATGGGAAGGAGGATTATTTCAGAGACAAAGAGAAAGGGTGGCCAGGAACTGCTGAGAGGTCTCCCACCACCCCACCTGTGACAATGAGAGAAATTAAAAACAAAATGAAGACCATAGTGACCAGGAGAATCTATGGAAGACCAGAGTCCACTTTCATATTCAAACCGACGCAGCAATATAAAGTCAGGGAGAAGGGCTCATCCTTACCAGTATGGGTTGATTGATCCTTTCCCAGTTAGAGAAATGTCTAACTTACTACTGTGGTTAGATCAATGATAACCCATTACACCTCAGTGTGGGGAATAGATTGTCATTTTGCTTTTTTAAAAAGCAGCATCAGAGCCACCACTGTGGGGGTCAAATCAGAGTTGCAGGATGGATTTCAAGGAGATGGACCTTCCACACTGCTGGAAAGACAGAGGCAAAAACCACATATTGAGGGCTCAGTGGCGACATTGCTTTCTCCTTGAAGGTGAGGGTGTGGACTTGGCTTAAAACCGAGAAGAGACTAGTATTTGTAGACATGTCCTTAGAGATGAGCATGTATATACTAGAGCAAGCTTCTTGCAGAAGGCTGAGCCCCAGTGCATGTGTGTAGACAAAATGGCTGTGTATCCCCAGCGGCCCCCCCGGGGGGGTCTCAAGGCAGACACCGCATTTGTACCTTCCCTGCAAGAGTAATCATCCCCAACAAAGAGTTATTTCTTCAGCTGAGCAGAAGCTCACTCTGACTTTGCAGTGTGTGATGCTTTTGGCCCCTTCCTTCCTACACAGCAGGTTGATCATTGGCAAATGACACGCACGTGTCTCACTGTCTGAGCCTGACAGTGCACCTGGTCACACAACATGTGCCATGAAAAATAAACCAATCACAGAGACACTGGGAAATCTCAGCCTCTGTGATGTTAAACAGGCAACATTTTTGTCAAGGCTTTCCAGGGCTCTTAACACTTCTAAAAGTTTGGCTTAGGGCAAATGGAATCAAAGACACTTGTGGGTTTCTCACATGACACATGACAAAACAAATACCAGAAAGGGAGAACAATTGAAAAACGGTGCTAATCAGATTATGGCCAATTGTTTGCTTGCCAGATGACCATAGAAACCCTCCTCGCCCCAGCACTCATCTTTCAGGCTTCCAAATTGGTGCCAGATATTGCTTAGAAGAGCTCCGTGCTTCAGAGCGGAGTGTGGATGCTTGAGAGCAGATGTTTTAAAAGAGGAGCAACCCAGGAAAAGTCCTCCTGATGATCTGTATCTCTCAGAGGGACTGTCACCTGCAATGCCTAGGCAGTAGCTTTCTTCTCACCCAGGGTAGAAGGGAGGAGGGCAGGGGGGATGGCTGTCCTTAATTGTTGCTTTGTTTGATTTATTAAATTCAGAGTCATTATCTAAAATGGGGCTAATCTCATTAGAATGTAGACTGTTCTATTATTTCTTAGGATGAGGTTAATTTCATATTTGCAGAGTCATAAAATAAAGAGTCCAAAATCCAATTACGAAGGCTTAATTTCATAGCAACTAAAGAGAAACATTTCTATCATAAAGGAAAATAAACACTTTGCTACTTCAGGAAGTGATTTGTCAGGAACTGGGGGCCTAGGAAGAGGGTCTCCATTACTGTCGCTCAACTTTGCAAGGCAATGCATCACCGAGAGCTTCAAGGCTGCGGAAGGGAGTAAATTTAATCAGCTGAAGTCAAAGTAATCAGGCTCGGGTTGACACATTTCAAGAAAGGTCAGCGTTAAGCACATTTCCTCATCCCTAACTCAGTTACCGTGTCATCGTCTCTGAGTTAGTATTCCTCCAGCTTGAATCTATAGAATGGATGTGGGCTGCAAAACGCTAACTATGTTAGGACTAACAGGATTTATTTCACATTCTATTATTTGTTATTCCTCATAATTTTCCATGTGTCATGCTGGAAGACCGGTGAGGTAATGCAATTAAGCTCAGAGTTGAACAGCTAAATGTATATTAGCAAATCAATCTGAATTTGTGCATAACCCAATCATGGTCCCACCGGCCGTAGGGAGGAAATTCATTTGCTTACATTATCCTTTAACTCAGTTATCGTTTGCCAGAATTGGTGGCACAGTCATATGCACTTCAGTGCTGGTATGGAAGAGCTGCCGGATTTGGAAACATCTGCCCAGAGTTAGTGGATTCTGCCACAGGGAAGGGACATGGGGGTGACGTCATGACATGATCTCACTTCAGATGTGGCAGTCCTTTATGGGCGGCACTGCTTGCTCCCTTCCCTTGCTGTCCCAGCACTGTGGCACTTCCCCCACATTGTTATCTGACCCACTGTGTAGACACAGTGCCTCTCAGTTCTGAAAAGGGAGATCCGGCCAGAAAGAGTTCATTTCACATGTTTGTTTCCAAAGTTCCCAGGGGTTCCCAGAATGATTTCAAGGTACTTGCAGATTTCACGTCCACCCCAGTGAGGGTTCACTAGTGACTCCTGTGACTCATGCTAGGCGAATCTGGACGAGGCTCTGGGGGGAGCGATATGTTCACAGCCCAAGTCCCTGCAGGGTGATGGCAGCTTCTGGGGCCTCCCGACTGCCCAGCAGGACCCAGCATACCAAACTCAGGCTAATGCTTTGTTAAATAAGCTCACTGTACTCTCATTCCTTACATGCTCTCCTGATAGCGAGGTTCTGAAATGATATTGAATCTGTAAAACATCATAATGGCTTTACATTGCTAATTCCAGAAATTCAGTCTATTACCCAAGGGCCAGCACTCCAATAAGATGCCTGTGAGCTGTAGAGTAAACAACAGGAATGCTCCCTGCACAGGGCAGAGCCCTCTTCTACACTGGGCATGAAGATGCTTTCACTTTCCAAAGTGAAGCAAAACTTTCTGCTCTACGATCTGCTTCACCTTCGCTACAAAAGTGTCAGAAACAATTGTGGTCCCAGCAGAAAGCCAGAGCCCTGAGTGTTTTGGTAGTGCTTTCTCTGTCCCCATGGGATCATGTAAATCAAGCCGCAAATGCAGACACAGGAGGCACAGATGAGCACAGCACAGTGAGGTCACTGGGTCTTTAGATGCTCGTCTTGGATTCAAATTAACTTCACCATTTAGCAATTGGGTGGTGTTAGTCTGGTCAAGGAAGTGCTCCAGATGTCTCTGCCTGCAACACTAGAAAACTGGGCCATGTGAATCTCAGGCCTTCCCAGCACCAAATTTTCATTTCTTCCCCTTCTCTTCCTCCGTGTGTGTGTGTGTGTGTGTGTGTGTATGTGCGCACACGCTCATGCACGCACATGCACATATGTGTTGCTAGGGATGGAATGGAACCCAGGCCTCATGCATGCTAGGCAAGTGCTCTACTACTGAGTTACACCCCAGCCCTCATTAATTTCTCTTCGTTTTCATTAGTACATGAAGGGCTGGGGATTTAGCTCAGTGGTTCTGCCGCCTGCCTTGCAAGCACAAGGTCCCGAGTTCAATTCCTGGGTATCAAAAAAAAAATTCATTAGTACATGTAGTGATCACATTCATCATGAAGAGTTGGTATATGTGCAGAGCACATCTTAATTCTTTTTAGTCCTCTTCCTTTCCCTCACTCCCCTCTCCTTCCATTTCTTGGTTTTCTTCCCATTTGCAAAATGCCTATTTCCCTGTTTCCTATTATCTATCTTTTATTTTGTTTTTTAAATTATTTATACTTTGGGTTCCAGGGAACCTATGCATATCTGGTTTATTTCATTTAACATTACAGTCTCAAGGTGCATTTATTTTCCTACAATTGACTCAAGTTTATCCTTCTTTATGGCAGAGTAGCACTCCATTGTATGTAAAAACCATATTTTGTTTATCCATTCATCTATTGATGAACACATAGGCCACTTCCATGATTTAGCTATTGAGTTGTACTGCTATAAACATGGGTGTGCATGGATCCCTGAAATATGATGTCTGTAACTCATTAATTCTTGATGTCTCTCTCCCTTGCTGTGCAGGCTGTTTTGCAATTGCCTTATCTATGTAATCATGAGACTCAAATATCTTCTAAGACATTTAACTTTTGTTAAATTTTGTGCTTCCTAGAGATCACTGTCACTGATTTTGGGGGGGAAGGGGACCCTATAATTAAATCACTGTTTGGGTTCTTGTCACCTAAGAAACGCATGATAATTTGGGTCACATAGCACTTTTGGATAGAACATTCATGATGCTGGGGCCACACCAACTGATGCAAGCTTGGATGATAAGAAAAGAGAATTTTTCAAAAATGTAAACCACAAAGACAGAAGAGATGAAAGGAAGGAACAGGGCCAGGGATTTAACTCCGTGGTTCCACCACCTGCCTCACAAGCGCAAGGATCCGAGTTCGATTCCCAGTACCAAAGAAAAAGAAAGGAAGGAACAACAAGATTGTGAAAGCAATAGATGGAAAGGACAGGGAATAAGAGAGTTGGTATTATATTTGATGACTATTAGCAATGTTACAAAAACGTACTTCTCTCTGTCCTCCAAAGGTGACAACCCAGGCCTCTTAACCCTTTGTCCCTGCTGTTCCCTCTCCTTGGATGGCCTTTTGGTTCCCTCTCCAGGTCATACCTTCTCCTGAGCCTTCTGGTCTCTCCTGCTTCTCTCCTTCCATGACAGCCTCCATGTCTAACCAGGATTCCCTCCACTTCCATAACTGTCAGTGCTGCTGGAAAGTACTCACTCAGCCAGGGACTTCATTTCCCATCCCTTTGCACCCAAGGGAGTCCTCCCCAAAGTTATGCCCAAAGAAAACAGGACAGAAGCTAACATGTGGCCATTGAGTGAGGAGTTCTCTACCATCCACAGGCCTGGGGGCCAAGTTGGATGCCCAGGTGACTGCTGTCTCCGAACAGCAGTCCCAGTCACTGATGGATTCTGCATAAGAAAGAAATGTCTAGTATTCCCGGCAACTGAGGACAGGAGGCCTATTTGTTACAGCAGCTAATGCTACCTAACACAAGGTCCTGCCTAGCAAACACAGTGGCCCCTGAAAGGACCGATGCCTGGACACATGGCAGTCACCTACATATCAACCTGAGAGGCAGCCACAATGCAGGGTGGGAAATTACCTGCAGGAGATCCAGTTTCAGCTGCAGCTCGCCCTGTGTGGAGGAGCACAGCGCACCCACAATGATGCTGGCGTACTCCTCAGCATTGATGACTGCAAGCTGCTCCAGGATGCTGAGTGAGGCCTCACGGTAGCACTGGTCATCCAGGAAGATCTTGATGAAGGGTACCATGCCATGGTCCTTCAAGACCACTAGGGACAGATGGAGAGGAGGCGCTGAATGAGGGGGCCTTCAATAGCAAAGACAGCTTTTCCTGACAACTTTCACATTTGTTTGGCCACATTTTTAGGTTTTGCTTTTGCCCTTTGGTAGTCTTTTTTTTAACTTTTTTTACACATCATATACATTATGGATGACATTAGGAAAAGGAAAAGAGAAACTGTGGAGCTGACAATTAAATAGAAATCTTTCTTCACCAGTGAGAATTTTACTTTTTAAAAATCCTTTGACTCATAAGCTCCCCATAGGAGTTAAGTTCGGGAGCTCTATTGTACAAAATGATGACTACCATTAACAAAGTATTATAATCTTATAGAAAAAAGAGAAAGGAAAAGTCTTTTTCTTTTTAAAAACCTAAGTAACCAGGCTGTCTTCCTTTATTTCTGTGTAATTCCTTAATCCAGGGCCGATGACAATTCTCTCTTTCCTGTCTGCCGAAATTCTTATAGAAAGCAAACCATTTAAGAACATATTTAAGAATTTAAATGTGAATTTAAGAACATATCTAATTCCTAGGTAGTTTCTTGGGGAAAGAATTAAAGAAATCCAGTTGGTGGTATGCTTTTGCTTAGAAGTAATCCAAAACATGTCCTCCCCAGGATTGATATTTGAAGTAATCCTCATGGAATAAAACTCAGGAATTAATGAAACCAAGTAGCTTTGTGTGGATTTGAGCAGCTCAGATCCAGAAGGCAGGATTGTTCCATTTCTGGGCCAGGTACCCCCACACAGAAATCACCTGTCCCAGAGGAGATTCCTGAGCTCTACCTCAATCTACGCTAACTCAATGTCTGGGACCAAGCCTGGGACTACGAATTTAACCAACACCTCCTGCGAATATTTTGGAATTTAATGTTAAGAGACTTTTACTCTGCTATAATGAAGTAAATTTTTTTCATTCAACATAGATGATCTATGAAGACCTCAGATAAAGATGAGAAATCACCAAGCCTATGGATGCGACTTTGTTGATGCAGTAATAGATTTTTCTTGAAAGGGAAGGGGGCTCCATGGTCTCATTAATTTAGAAATTGGCATATTAAACACAATCGCAGCTCACCAATCTTATTGTTCAACCTCAGGAGTAAAAAGTGTTAATCAAGGTGTCTACTAACTTATTGACGATCAGTGAACATCAACCAGCCAATGGACACTAGCCACAACCATAAATATTATATAAATATATTATTCCTTGAATATAACCTTTGAATATAGATAACCAACACATAGCTAACCAGGAAGTAGTCAATGTTTTACTATAGTGTGGCAAGGCAAAGCTGACACCATCCTTACCTGCATTCCGAACCGAGCCTTTGAGAAGTGCCACTACAGTTCTCAGCATCACGCCTGTGAGTTCTCTTTCTGGATCTTGGATGCCAGGACTGGGCTCTTTGTTTCCTGTCATATTAAATAATCAACCAAAAAAATTTTTAAAGAATACATATGACCTACATTGGTTTTCTGTCTTAAGAGGAGGTGAATACATTGTAAGGGAGTGGGCACCCCAGTTCCTAAAATAGAACCCTACTCCCCCAACAATTCAACAATTTGAGCACAACAACACCCCCTAGAAGGCTTGTGGGTCAAATCCAGAGACCCACACTGGGCCCCAGATTTTCTGAGTTAGTAAGTATTGGATGTGATCCTACAATCTGTATTTCTAAGATATGAGATGAGGTTGACGGGACTGGTCCTGTAACCACGCTTTGAGAAGCATTGCCCCAGATGATGTAAAGAGCCCTGACTTGGGCTTCATCTGGCCACTTCATAGTTTCCCATTCATCCCTGGGAGGGTATGAGCTGTGAGCTGTCAGGTAGCTCAAGAGATTCTGGTGTAAATAGATACCCCAGTAGATCCATGAAGACATACAAGATACCTTGGTCTACCACTGAATACCACTGCCAGAACAATCCCTGAACAAATTAGAAGCTTGAGTTATATTTAGGGGATAAAGAAAGAATAAATGAATGAGCACAAGAATGACTGAGTATCTAAGGAACAACAAGACATCTCAAAGTACAACTGGATGCCTCATCCATATAAAGTTCAAGCTCTCCTAGGGATGGCCAGGTCTGGGGCTGAACTTAGAAGCAAACTTGATGTCAGCCTGCTAAAAACCAACACCCAGCTAGGATAACACAGAAACACTAAATGCAAAGACTTCCCAGTTAAACACCAAGGAAAGCAAAGGAAGTAAAATGTCAATTTCACTTATGATGGGATTTCGGGCACTAGGTTTGGTCTGGTTGGAATGTGTCCTTCAATAGTTCCTCTGCTGAAAACTTAATCCCTAAACTTACATATTAATGGTATTTGGAGGTGGGGCTTATGGGAGAGAATTGGGTTTAGATGAGGTCATGAGTATGGGATCCTATGATGGGACCAGGAAGTCATTACGAGGACCAAGTTGGCACGCTTGCTGTCTGTCCATGTGACATGCTCCACTATGCTATCAGGCAGCAACAGAGTCATGCCCAGATGCCAATACCTTGACATTAGATTCCTCACCCTCCAGCACCACAGCCTGAAGAACTTCTATACCTTATAAATTACCTAGTCTGTGGTGTTTCATTAGCAACACAGGATGAGCTGAGATAAAGTTACTGAGCAATAAAGAGAAGCACAGCTCCTAGGGGAGAGAAGCTCAGC